AAAAAAATTAATTATAATAATGAGAGCTTTTAATTATTTTCCCTTTTCAATTCTTCCAATCAAAATAAAGAGGTATTGTTTTTGTTTGACATCTTTACATAATTTGGAAAAGTAATTTTTCTTGTACAATATTTTTTTATATACATATATAAGTTTTTACACACACACACACACACACATATATATATATATATATATATTTAATATATTTTCATACAAAAATATTTAAATACATTTTACTATCAGCTAGCAATTTGCAATTGATCATTAACTCATGTAAGTAATCAGGGAAGCAACAGAAGAAATTGAAAATTTGTTATCCAAACATATTTATAACTTTTTAGAAATTGCATAACGGTCCATATGGTATTCAGCAAGTGTCCTCGAGTATCGGAATCGGACCAAACCATATTAAACATATAAAATCAATAACAAGATATAATTTATTTCACAAATGTATTTATTTGTTAGGTTTATTAAAAAAAAAAGGGCATATTACAAATAAGCCCATCAGTGGGAACTTATTCATAAAGAGATCCAGACAATATTCTCCTTTACCAATAAGTCCACACATGGTCCAGATTTATGTAAAGGACTAAAATAACCCCTCTTACTTTAATATGCTCCAATTTCATCCTTAACTTACTTTAACTTCAATTTGACCCCAACTTTCACAAATTATTCAATTTTGACCCAAAACTTTTTTTTTTCACAAATTTTTTTTTTTTCAAAAATTTTTTTTTTCCCGCCGGATTCCGGCGTTGACCGGCGGTCAACGCCGGTTTCCGGCGTTGACTTTTTAAATTTTTTTTTTTTTTTTTTTTTTTCCTTCCGGATTTTTTTTCCGGATTCCGGCGTTGACCGGCGGTCAACGCCGGTCTCCGGCGTTGACTTTTTATTTTTTATTTTATTTTATTTTTTTTTTCTTCCGGATTTTTTTTCCGGATTCCGGCGGTCAACGCCGGTCTCCGGCGTTGACTTTTTAATTTTTTTTTTTTTTTTTTTTTTTTTTTTCTGTAACTTTTTTTTCCGTTTAAACAGCAATATTGCTGTGAATGACAGTAATATTAACTATATTACTGTTAAACACAGTAAAATTAACTAAACTATAGTTTAACACATTGATATTGCTATATTAATCTCTAGCACATTAATATTAACACAACAAAATTCATTATTATTGTATAATAAAGTAATATTACTATGTTGTCCGTTCAACAAATGTAAACAAAATAAAAAAAACCAAAAGAATTAATATTACTGTGAGTGACAGTAATATTACTATAGCAACAGTAATATTACAATAGTAGACAGTAATATTATTACGTTACTTCGTGAATAACTCGAACAAAACAAACACCCCAAAAAAATAATAATATTGATGTTGTTGACAGTAATATTATTGTGTTTACAGTTATTTTACTGTCAACGACAGTAATATAATTACGTTGACTTGTCAACAAATCAAAAAAAATAAAAAAAAATAATAATAAATAAAAAAATATAATATTGCATTAATTTACTGTCAACGGCAGCACAATTACATAAATGTAATGTCAACGGCAGTACAATTACGTTAATTAATTATCATTGACAGTATAATTACGCTAAATTACTGTCAGTGACAGCACAATTACGGTCAACGTGTAGCGGCGGGCGTGGAAAAACAAAACAAACCAAACAAAAAAAAAAAAACTTAAAAAAACACTAAAGAAAGAGACCGCCGGAAACCGGCGAAAAAATCCGGAAGAAAAGAAAAGAAAAAAAAAAGAAAAAAGAAAAAAAAAAAAAAAAAAAAGTCAACGCCGGAGACCGGAAAAAAAATCCGGAAGAAAAAAAAGAAAAAAAAAAAAAAAAAAAAAAAAAAGTTTAAAAAGTCAACGCCGGAAACCGGCGGCAAAAAAAATTTTTTGACGGAATCCGGCGGCAAAAAAAAGTTTTTGAAAAAAAAAAAAATTTTGAAAAAAAAAAAATTTTTGGGTCAAAATTTAATAATTTGTGAAATTTGGGGTCAAATTGAGATTAAATTAAGTTAAGGATGAAATTGGAGCATATTAAATTATACTCCAAAAAAAAGTCAAAATTGAATTTTTGTGGTCAAAATTGAACTTTTATGGACAAAATTGATTAATTTGGATTACAATTAAGAATTGGGTATAAATGATTGAGGGTAATATTGGGATATACATGAATGTTTCCTTTAGTTATAATAAATATTAAAGGGATGGGCTTATTGGTGAAAGAGATATGTCCCCTATACCTAGAATAATAAACATGCTTGGTTGGGGACTTTTGCATAAAAATCCCAAAAAAAAATTATTGGCATCGCTTTTCAGAAAGATATGCACGTTCAATATTTTTTTTCATAAAACACACATATTACAATAATCTCAATAAAATGACTTTAATAAAGGAAAAAATAAAAAAATAAAAAAAATCCCCAAGTTTCCTTCCAGTTGAAGGAAATTAGATGACAGGTGCCCACAGAGATAAACCACTTTAATTTATTTTAATTTAATTTAATCTTAAAAATATTATTAGTTTATGCATCCATTTTAATACCTGGATAAATTAAATAATTCATATTTTTATGTTTGTGTAATGATTAAATAATGACCCATAATGCGTTTTTATTTCAAGAGAATGACAACTTTAGGAGGAATAAAAATATTAATCTCTCCGTTAATTTTTAATTTTAAAAAGTAAATATTTTTAATTTGAACTCATTTTTAGCAGGTAAATAAGATTAACAAACTAATTAATATGAAAAATGACATTCAAATAATGCAATTAAATAGTATTTGGAGAGAGAAAATCACAATTATGTAGATAATTAAAGGGCCTTCGGTCAAAGTTACTGAGTAAATATATGTAAGTTTGACCAATTTAATTACAGTAAATATTAGTAATTTTTAAAAATGGTTTAATTCTACTTTACACCCTTAAAGTATACCATTTTGGCACTTGCACCCTCTAAGTAAATTAATAGCACTTTACACCATCGAAAGACAATAAATCATGCACAATGTAAACCAAATGAATTTTTAAAGCTAATAAAGGTAATATAGTATTTTTAGTGGTATTTTCAAGGATGTCAAATGTGGAATCAATTTTTTTATTCATCAATTATTTTAAAACCATAAAGTGCAGTGATAAAAATACCATATCATCAACATATTTCAAAGTATTTTTATCCGAAAATCATATTTTATTCCAAATATTTCAATCAATTACAATAAAAGATCCATCAGTTGAATAATTTATTGGCAACAGTTTTTTTCTTTTATTTTGTAAGAAAATATAGTTTTTTTTTTTCAATAACCCGGTGTGATTTCTATTTTTTTCCACGTTATGCGCTCTAAATTAGGTTGTAGATTGAAAAAAAATTACAATTTAATTTGTAATTTTGCACACAAAAAAAAAACCCGATCTTTAATATCCAATTTATGGTGCATCGTGAATGATTTATTGTGTTTTAAGGGAGCAATGTGTTGTTATTATTTTTTAAGGGTGGAAAGTGAGAAAACATTTAATTTTAAGGGTGTAAAGTGTTATTAAGCAATTTTAAAAATGATCTATCGCTCACTCACGCGGTTTACTTTCAACACCCCCGGGGGGACGCGTTTTCTTTTTGCCCCCTTTTTTCTCACTACTATAATATTTTCTTAGAAAGTATTTAAAGTAATTCGAATTAAATAATTAAAAAAATTAATCCGAATTACTTATTTAAATTACATTTGTATTATCATAGTATTTTTATTAAAATAGTTTTAGAAATATATATATTTTTTTAACGAAGAACAAGGCTCGCTCCCTTAATTTTTTTAAATGTTTGTTATATACATAAAAAATAAACATTTTAATTAAAATAATTCAGAATTCGTATAATAATAATAATAATAAATAATTATTGAATAGAACCAAACAGAAGAAACAGAAATGGACAAAAATACAAAGACAGCTATATCAGCTTATTTTTAGAATTAAAAATAATAATAAAATAGACAGTCACAGTCTTTGCACAGAGAGATACACAAAACCAACAAGCAACCTCTCTCTCTCTCTCCACATATACATACACTTTTCTCTGTATCTATATATACATAGATACAGAGCTTTTATTACAATACCAACTCCGGTCCGGTGGGGACACCTCAAAGCCACCCACCTCCGCCACAACATTTTGAGCCCCATTTACTTTCTCTCTCACACACACACACACTGAATTCTTTCCACATTAATTTATATATAGAGAGAGAAAGAGAGATTTGTTTGTTTGGTACATTAGTTATGATACATCACCTCTCTCTCTCTCTCTCTCTCTCTGTGCTTTCTCTCTCTATCTCTCTCTCTACTTTATCTCTCTACAAATAAAAAGATATATTTGACTAAAAAAGTCCATGAGTCCTGTCCAGCCAAATTACAGTGCAGAGTTAGCTTGTAAAGAAGACCATTTCACATTTCTTTTATTAATAAATTATATAAATAATAAAATAATAATAATAAATAATAGTATTACTTCTATTTAATTATTATCATCCTCAAACTGATTTCAAGAAACACTACACTTCACTACACCTTTTGGAGTTTCTTGACTTTCCGAAATATTGTAATATTATTATTATTTATTTTTTCTCCCCCTCATTTTATTAATTTATTAAATCTCCTCCAATTGGGGTTCTGCATTATATATATATATATATAACGAGTGCTTTTCCCGATGGGTTTTTCGCACTCGGTGGTGTAAAAGACTCGATCTTTATCGCAAAAAAACCTCGCCTTTTTTTTTTCTCTTTCGCCGTTTGTTTTTTTTAGCTACTGAATCTTGATTTGGATTAACTGCATTTGACTGAGATTTTACAAATTCTCAAATTAAAAAAAAAATAATTGAAGGGGGTGGATTACTAATCCAGCTATTTAGGGCATTTGACTGTGGAAAAATGGAGTGGTTTTAGCCTTTAGGTTTAATTGTTTTTTTTACAAGATTTGTGTTCTATCTCTCTTCTTTTTTTTTTTTTTTTTTATTTAATAAAAAAAATCGAGATTGAGAAATGGCGATGAATACTGGAGGGAGGCTGGTTGCAGGTTCTCATAATAGAAAGGAATTTGTGCTTATTAATGCTGATGAAATTGGAAGCGTCAGTCTCTCTCTCTCTCTCTCTCTCTCTCTCTCTCTCTAAAGCTTCATTTCATCTCTGCTTCTTGAAATTATTTCTATGATTTCGGTGTTAGATGATTTTTCTGAAATGCCATATTTCTGCTTATTGGATTTTTTATATATTTAGATATTTTGTTTTAATTTTTTGCTTTGACATGATTTGGTTCTTCAGCCCTAGATTTGTGTATCAAGTCGAATTTTTTGTTTAATAGAAAATGCATGAAATTGAAATATCTTGATTTCGGGTTCTGGGTTTTCGGGTTTATTGTATTGATGCGTGTAATGATGATTCTTGATTTTTAGGCAAAAAAAATAGTGACCTAATTTCCCAGCAAAATTTCTTCCATTTGAGAAAGCAGGATGAAAAAAAAACCCCGATATTTTCGTTAGATATTTGCATATGTGAGCACACATTCGACTTTTCGATTAGGATTTTATCGAAACACAAAGGTGTTGAGAAACTGTAAAATATCGAACTTTCTGGGGAGATGAGTATGGCAACTAAAAAAAAAGGGTTCTTTTCGAGTTTTATTCTGTATGCATTCTTTTACATATTGTGGATTGGAGTCTAATTTCGTAATTAAAAAATCCCGAATTCTTGTAATTTTTACAGATTAAATCTGTTCAAGAACTAAGTGGGCAAACATGCAAAATTTGTGGGGACGAAGTGGAGATAACTTTAGACGGTGAACTCTTTGTAGCCTGCAATGAATGTGCTTTCCCCGTATGTAGACCTTGTTACGAGTACGAAAGAAAAGAGGGAAATCAATCCTGCCCTCAGTGCAAAACGAGATACAAACGTATTAAAGGTAGAGTCTTTATGTTCGTGTCTGTTATTTTTTTTATTTTTATTTTTTTGTTTTTTGATGTGTATAACATTTTCCGATTATTTATTTTGTAGGTAGCCCTAGAGTTGAGGGCGATGAAGATGAAGACAGTGTTGACGATTTAGAGCACGAGTTCGATTATGGAGACATTGAGTATTCGGGTTTTACAGACAGTGCAGGTGTAATAAACTCCGCCTACCGTGGTTCAGCTGGTTCTGCCTCGACTTCGAGACACCACCATTCGTCTTCTCAGGGTCTTGAATTCCCTCTTTTGACTTATGGCGATGAGGTAATCAACGAATTTTGTATGTCGTGTGTGTGTGTGTGTGTGTGTGTGTGTGTGTGTGTGTAATTGTGTAATGATTAAATTCTTGTAGGATGCTGAGATTGCGTATAACGAGAATGCGATAATAGTGCCCCCGTACGCCAGTCATGGGAATGGAATTCATCAACCGAATTCTGGTACAACGACACCTTGTAAGTAGTTTCTTGATTTTTACTTTATTTATTTATTTTTTTATTCTTTTCAGGGTTGCAAAAAGAGAAAAAATAAAATAATAATAATAATAAAAACTTCGTCTTCTTTACTTTGCGTGCAAATTTATAGTGCATCCGCGACCTATGGTACCGGAGAAGGACCTTGCATTGTACGGGTACGGAAGTGTTGCATGGAAGGATCGAATGGAGGAGTGGAAAAGGAGGCAAGAGGAAAATCTTCAAGTGGTCAAACATCAAGGAAGTAGTGATGGTGGAGATTTTGACGGGAGCGAAATCGACTCCGATTTGCCTACGTGAGTAATAATACTCTTGTAATCTCGATTGCGCACGTCGCTACGATTTTCGCTACCCTTTCAAGAAAAGTTGTTGATTGAATGATGCTCAAGAATTTTTAATCCTAGTGTGAAAAATATATTGATATTTTTCGTTTTCCGAATGGTAGGATGGATGAAGGGAGGCAGCCACTATCGAGGAAATTACCGATCGCTTCAAGCAAAATAAATCCATACAGATTGATAATCGTGCTTCGTCTCGTGGTACTAGGTTTATTTCTTCATTACAGAATCCTAAATCCGGTCCCCGATGCGCAAGGTCTATGGATGACATCTGTTATTTGCGAAATATGGTTTGCCGTTTCTTGGATCCTCGATCAGTTTCCGAAATGGTACCCTATCGAAAGAGAAACCTACCTCGATCGCCTTTCACTTAGGTATAAATATAATGCAAACCTTTCTTTAAATATCAAATAAATTTATCTGCTAAAATTTGATTTTTTTTTTTTTTTTATAATTTTTATTAATGTTTTTTTAGGTACGAGAAAGAAGGGAAGCCATCGGAATTAGCAGATATAGATGTGTTTGTTAGTACCGTGGACCCGATGAAAGAGCCTCCATTGATCACTGCAAATACGGTTCTTTCGATTCTTGCGGTGGATTATCCAGTTGACAAGGTCTCGTGTTATGTTTCGGATGATGGTGCAGCGATGCTTACGTTTGAAGCTTTGTCTGAAACTTCGGAATTTGCTCGAAAGTGGGTCCCGTTTAGTAAGAAGTTCAACATTGAACCTCGTGCACCCGAGTGGTATTTCTGTCAGAAGATGGACTATTTGAAAAATAAAGTGCATCCAGCTTTTGTCAGAGAGAGGCGTGCGATTAAGGTTTGTGTCTACGAATAATATATTATATTGTCTTTTTTTTAATGTGTCTTTTTTTAATATGATGTTTGTGTATATTTGGGTATAGAGAGAATACGAGGAGTTCAAAGTTCGGATAAATCGATTGGTGGCGATGGCCGAGAAGGTTCCGGAAGAAGGTTGGACAATGCAGGATGGTACGCCTTGGCCCGGTAATAATGTGCGGGACCACCCTGGTATGATTCAGGTTAGTGTTACTCGTAAATCGTGATCCGATTATTTTCTTTTACTTACTATGTTCGTATTTTTTTCCTTATGTAATGTGGGGTAGGGGTGGAAATTTGGACGGATTGAGTCGGTATTAGTACTTTCGGAAAATTCCATTTTTTTCCGAAGTGGAAAACTGATTCCAATTTGGTTTCAAATAAAATTGGAAAAATCAGAAATCGGAATTTCGGAAATTGGAACAACAAAACTTGTTCCAAAATCGATTCTTTTTAATTGGAATCGGCGTTATTCAAATTCCAATTTTTAGTTCACCAATAATACAAAGTACACTAATATTGATATTAAAAACGTAATTTTCGGAAAATAATCGGAATTTTCGGAAATTAAAATTGGATCGAAAACCGGAATCTAATATGTCTTCCAATTCACTTTCAAGAAAAATCGGAATTCGGAATGAAAATTGGTTTCCAATGTATCTTTTATTCAAAGGATGTTCAATTTGTTTATTTTTTTAACTGTTTTGCTACTTGAACAGGTATTCCTTGGTCACGACGGTGTTCGTGATATTGAAGGGAATGAGCTTCCTCGTTTGGTTTACGTTTCCCGAGAAAAAAGACCCGGTTTCGAGCATCACAAGAAAGCCGGGGCCATGAATTCTCTGGTGAATCTCAATTTTCAACATTTTATATATAAATATAAAAATAGGTAGAAGTGAAAAAACAAGAATGACCAAAATACCCTCGATTATATGATTTTTTTCAGATTAGGGTTTCGGCTGTTCTATCGAATGCTCCTTATCTTCTCAATGTGGATTGTGATCACTACATAAACAACAGCAAAGCTATGAGAGAAGCCATGTGTTTCATGATGGACCCCACCTCGGGAAAGAAAATATGCTACGTGCAATTCCCACAACGTTTCGATGGGATCGATCGGCACGATCGATACTCCAATCGTAATGTTGTTTTCTTCGATATATGTATATATATATATATATATATATATATATATATATATATATATATATATATATATATATATATATATATATATATATATATATATATATATATATATATATATATATCATATGCATATGTATATGTATATGTATATACTTTATTCGTGTATCCACTTGGGCCTTGTTAAGATTAGCTAATTAAATAATTGGTCCTTACTGGATTTTTGGTTAGTCCGATAATTTTTTCGGGCCGGGCCCGCAATTCCGGAAGAAAATGGCTCTAATCTTGGATAATTGGGTTTTTAATTAGATTATTATTTAATCTTAACTTAGAAACCAAACGAGGCCTAAAATGATTACACAATCTCCCAAGTCCTAATAAGCCAAGATAAGAGCTCATTTTTCCAATATCTTTCGTGGGCCCGCCCAAACACTATTTATTATTATTAATTAATCATGGTTTATCTTATCAACCAAACGAGGCCTTAGCTCTACTACAATGCGGAAACTAACTCGTAAAATTTTCGTACAGATAAATATGAAGGGATTGGATGGTTTACAAGGACCTATATACGTAGGAACGGGTTGCGTATTTAGAAGGCAAGCATTATACGGATTCGATGCTCCGGCTAAGAAGAAACGACCTAGCAAAACGTGCAACTGTTGGCCGAATTGGTGCTGTTTGCTTTGCAATTCTAGAAAGAAGAACAAGAAAGATAAAAAGAAGTCGAAGCACAGAGAAGCATCGAAGCAAATTCACGCTCTCGAGACCATCGAAGAAGGAATCGAAGGAGGTATATATATATATATATTTATATATATATATGTATATATATCTTTTTTTTTTATTTTTCTGTCGACATTGTTATTGCATTTAATATTAGTACTTGTGTAATTTTTGTGTATATTTTAATTTATAGAGATGAGTATTATCGGACAACCACTTATCTCGCAAGAGAAACTCGAGAAGAAATTCGGGCAGTCGCCCGTTTTTGTGAATTCGACTTTAGTACAAAATGGTGGGGCCCCTATGTCGGTTAGTTCCACGTCACGGTTACAAGAGGCCATTCATGTCATTAGCTGTGGTTATGAAGATAAGACTGAATGGGGAAAGGAGGTAATTTTTTTTTTATTTAGGGTAAATTGCACTTACCTCCTTGAGGTTAGATCAAATTACGATTAGACCCCTCAAGTTTTGGAAAATTACATATACATACCCAAAACCAACAATTGATAATTTTATCCCCACCTTAATAGTTTTTTAACCCCCGAGTTTTTTCAGTTTTCGAGGTTTTATTTTCGAGCAAGAAAGTACATTGAAACCCAGGTATTTTTTTAAGGGTAAAAAAATGATCATTTTTTATTTTTTTGCCGACATCATCACTTTTTGATTAGTTTACGACCATATGGGATAAATTGTTAACTATCAACCAAACCTGAGGGGAAGTGTATGTAATTTTCCAAACTTGGGGGGTCTAGCTGTAATTTTTTTTTTTTTGTTTCTAAATTTCTAAGTGCTGAAAAAAAATCAAGGTTGGCTGGATATACGGCTCGGTTACGGAAGATATATTAACGGGGTTCAAAATGCACTGTCATGGGTGGCGATCGGTTTACTGCATGCCAGCTAGGCCTGCTTTTAAAGGCTCCGCTCCGATTAATCTTTCGGATCGACTTCACCAAGTTCTTAGGTGGGCCCTTGGTTCTGTCGAGATTTTTCTTAGCAAACATTGCCCTATTTGGTACGGTTATGGAGGTGGATTAAATTGGTTGGAAAGACTATCGTATATAAACTCCGTTGTGTATCCGTGGACTTCTATTCCGTTAATTGTGTACTGCACTTTGCCAGCTATCTGCCTTCTTACTGGCAAATTTATTGTTCCCGAGGTACGTAAATTCCCATGCGACGCTTTCTTGAAATTATCAATTTTTTTTTCGAAACGCTACTTGTTAGGGTTTATTGACGTTGCATTATAGGCGTTGAGGTTTAGAATCTATTATATAACAGAATTTACATTTTCAAGAATACATTTTTTTTTAGCTAATTTCATGATAAAAAAAATTGACAGATAAGTAATTACGCGGGAATAATATTCATGGCACTCTTCATCTCGATCGCCGCAACGGGCATACTCGAGATGCAATGGGGCAAAGTCGGAATAGACGATTGGTGGAGAAACGAGCAATTTTGGGTAATCGGTGGGGTTTCGGCCCACTTCTTCTCTCTCATCCAAGGCTTGCTCAAAGTATTAGCCGGTGTTAGCACTAATTTCACCGTCACGTCGAAAGGTGCGGACGACGGAGAATTTTCCGAGCTATACGTATTCAAGTGGACCTCTCTTTTAATAATGCCCACGACTCTATTGATTATAAACGTCATTGGTGTCGTCGTGGGTATCGCCGATGCGGTTAATAACGGGTACGAATCGTGGGGCCCGCTTTTCGGTAGGTTGTTCTTCGCCATTTGGGTTATCGTTCATCTTTACCCGTTCCTTAAGGGTCTTTCGGGTAAGCAAGAGAGAGTTCCGACTGTGATTGTGATTTGGTCCGTTTTGCTCGCTTCAATTTTGACCCTCGTGTGGGTCCGGATAAACCCGTTTGTTTCGAGAGATGGGCCTATACTTGAGATTTGCGGGCTCGATTGTGATAACTAGAGGATATACGATGACCATTTTTGACGGGGTTTGTTCGAACGGGCTTCTTTTTTTTCTTTTTTTTTTTTTTTTTTTTTTTATTAAGGTAGAATAAGAAGTGGTAGTGTCATTTTGATGAGGTGTGTGTAGATATATGGTGGAAGGTTTAATTTGGGGGAGTGATTGATTGGGTAATTTGTGTGTGAAATGGTTCTATTGATTCTTTTGTTGGATATATAATTTAATATGATACATTATCTAACTATGTGATCAATGTAACTGCAAATAATTATATATTAGTTTAATATTATTTAATCATTATTATTTATTTATTTATTTATTTTTTCTACTTGTGGATTTGGATTTGATCTTATTTTTATGTCTCTTAGGTACTTTTAAATTGGACCAAGTTATGTAATTTGATCTCATGGTGTAATTGTTATTTACCTTTATTTGTAATTGGTCAATATATATAGTTCATCTTAAATTTTTTTTACTAATTTTTTAATTGTCAAGCAAAATCACAAAAAAATCGATCTATAATAGTTTTTTCACACAAATACATGGTAAAAATATATATAGAATCATAATTAGTCATTAAATAGTTTATTTATTAATAATATCACTGATCTTTGAATCGACAAGCAAAATCCCAAAAATTGTATACTATAAGACACGATTTTCGCTAAAATCACTTGCATGTTAAAATAATTTTTGACACAAATATATTAAAAACATATATATAACACACCATTTTCGAGTTAAATATTATTTTTAATATTTTCATAATAGAAAACTCATTTCATTAATATTTTTTATCGAAACAATCATCAAATAGTAATCACATCTGAAGATACATTTTGTCAAATATTAAATGACTTGGTAAGCAAATCATGACTTGGTTTTCAAGTCATTACAACATTCCTGCGGTGGGCCCCATTGCATAATAAATCTGAAGAAAAAAAACCACATTTAAATTTAGAAAATGTTTACTCAAAAAAAAAATTTAGAAAATGTGGAAATAAATATTTGCAGAGTCAATCTGAAACAGCTAAAGGAAAAGAATTAAAGAACAGGAAACAAAAACTTTAGTTGTTAGATTGAAGGAAGGCTACGGCATCAACAAAGTCAATCACACGTTGACCATAAATATAATGACTTTTAGACTCTGCCAAAATAAATGAATTCAAACTTAATGCAAAAGTAGAAATGCAAATTATTTAAGTTCAAAAACTTAATCAATCTTGGAGTATTAATATATTATTATTGCACAATAACCTCTCTCTCTCTCTCTCTCTCTCTCTCTCTCTCTCACACACACACACACACACACACACACCACACACATGTTCCTATAATCTTCCTGGCACTAACACTGCAGTTTCTTTATAATCAGAAACACACACACACACATACAAATATATATATATATAGCACATTCATTCATCATCTGTATCTAGGTCTAAAATGGAGTCTGAGAATCAGAATAAGGGCCTTCATATGGCAGCAGAGGTAGTACAGCAGCTCATGGTACAGATATTCGGAGACGAAGAAGACAATACCCATCAATGTTCTAAGAAATATTATTCCAGCGGGTCGATCAACAAAAGAAAACAAGAAGAAAATGGCGGGAAAACCATCATCAAGAATCGAAGGTATCGCTCCATCTCCAGTCTGTACATGTCCACACAGCCGATTATATCTAAATTATGTAAAGAAAGTCTATGATGTTTAAACATCTGAATATTAATGCATTGCCCCCTCGTTTCCTGTTGAGTTCCGAACGAGAGAACTTGTTCAAGCTGCGCCTTTGAACTTTGCATCATATTCATACGCTTGCTGCAAATAAAGATGAATACATAGTAAACATTTTTATTACCAAACAATAGAGTGGAAACAAATAGACGTCAAAATTATCTACCCATCTTGCTAAAAGTACGAGGGACTGACTTATGTAAGAACATTACCAAGAAGATGGCAGAGATCATTTTTCGTGCAAACCATCTTTTGTGCATTGCTTGCTGTGCACCCGATGCTGCTTCTATACTTTCAAACCTCAAGTACACATAACCAGCACTATTCCTGCCGGTCAACGTAAATATTCGTGAGATTGCATGTAACCATTATAACTTATCCAGTTGACAATCCACAAAAACAAATGGAAATCGATGAAAAAATCACTAATTTCTTACTTGTCGACATAGATATGCTTCACTCGCCCATACTTGGAGCATTCTTCGTGTACATCATCTTTAATGTCCAAATCAAACTCAGGATCCGCCTGCAAAAATTATGTTCACGTATAAACAAATGGGGAAAATAAGTTCTTCTCCAGCCTAGAAACTGAACAAGCAGCAAAAACTAACCTCAGTGGCTGGGTCAAACATATTCTTCAACAGTAAACACTCGCTGGGAATTCCAATAGGTTCAGGAAGCATAGAAATAAACTGGGATGGAAGAAGTGTAGCTTGTTGTGAAGGAGCTGATCCATTCATAGCAGGAATTCCAATGGGCCCCACAACACTACAAAAAGGATCAAATCAATTAATTATGGAGATCTAACCATGAGAAGACATTGATATAAGATAACTCTGTACACAAACCTTGAAGCAGTACCACTGCGATCAAGCTTGGCCATTAGCATTGCTCTCGACTGAGCATTCAAAGACTGCAAAGATTTCATAAATGAGAGCATGAAGAAAATAAATACAACATGAATTAGAAAATTATGAGCTATACGTCTCATTTTTTGCTCCTAGAAAAGTAATTTAAACACTCACCAAGCCACCACCATCATCATCATCAAAATCCGCAGTTTTTGCTCCTGAATCTTGTGCTCCGATATGGTCAGTGACAGAAGAGACCTGAAGATGACAAAAATAGAGTTAAAAAAAGATTGAACCACAGAAGAAAACCGTACCCCCACCCACCCCCAAGAAAAAATAATAAAGGAGGGTTATTATGGGAAACTCAGAGTTGAGCCGATACCTTAATAGTCCGACCAGCAATTTCTAGTTTCCCATTCAAACTTAGAGATGCCTTTGCATGTTCAATTTGCAAAAACTGAAATCACATTAGTAATAGATCAGTAGAGTTATGTTGGACTGGATGGTAAAAACATCAACATGCTATAGCAACTGAGAAAAAAATAACCACCAACACGAAAACATCAATAAATACCGACTTGAACAAACCCGAAACCTTTGCAGTGTCCTGTTTCAGGATCAGTAGGAAGTTGCACAAGCTCCACAGGCCCAAATGCTTCAAATATCTAGAAAGGGGTCAACAACTATGTGTGAAACATTGCTCAAAAGCTGGAAAACAAAATAAAAAATGCACGATCTACTTAAACGGTATAATTGTTACAAGTTGCTTTTGAATATTTATGAAAGATATTGTCGAAATCAAATTCAAAACTAAGTAAATGAAAACTCCATGTCCATGCAGATTGATATTTTCACGAACTGCACGACTAGAGTTAAAATGGCATGAATTACATTATCAGAAGAAAAAATAGATAAGAAAAAACACTTCACCATTTGTGGCAAGTTAACAAACAGATCAAGAGATTTAACAAGCTAGGTGGTGTTTTTAGTACAACAGAAATGCTCGGAAAATATATACAGAGCTCATCAGTCACGGCTCGCAAACACAACCACATAACGATCCTGAAGGTTGCTTAAACTTTGCTATACCAATTGGTGGTTGGTGATACATTATTTTTTGTTCAAACTGAGTTGATTAAAACAAGAAATTTGAATTTACACAAATGAAAAAACCCAGAGTCAATAACAATCAAGGGCACAAAAATAGAGCATCAACCCACACACAGCCAAAAAATGAAACCTGCACTCAGCATTCACAACTTAACCGGTTGTTCATTTCTAAAATTTAACACAAGGACTACCAATCCAGACAAGAAGTGTAAACTTGAGAACAAATAGTAGCTGTGTCTGAATGGTATCTGGTTCATATTTTTTGTGGTATTCCAACTACATAGAGAATCAGATGGTTCTTAAAAGAGGTCCGCAGCCAAATTACCAACATTGAGATCTTTTTTATTCCAATGTTTGAGTTCCTAAAGACAGACATATTATTGACAAAACAATATATGAATGATAAACAAAGCCGACTAAGACACATACTTGTCTAAGCTGATATTCAGTCATGTTGAAATGTAGATTGCCCACATAAAGCTTCCTATCTGCTGCGCCATAAGGTCCAGCAACTCCTGTACCACCACCACCAGAAGCAGTTGACTGAACAAGATTCTTTTCAGCCTCCGAAGGTTTTACCATTATCGGTTGTCCAAGAAATAGGTGGCCCGACATTGCAATAGCCATTGGTACAGACATTGAATCAACAAATTCAACGTACCTGTATTAAGGGTTTGCAGATTCAATCAATCAGACAGAAGCCCAAAAATAGACACAGAGCAAGAACAGGAAACACATACCCAACTCCTTTTGAACGCCTTGAATTCCGATCCATTATTAGTTTTACATCCCTTACCTGAATATAATGAAATACATAAATCAAGATTAAAAATAACTAAGCAGCACAAAAAAAAAAGAATTCAAAAGCCAGTTTCACATCATCCGGATCAACATGTTGCAGAAGTACAACAGTGAAAATGGCACCATTTCCATATTCCATGCAGCTAAATACAGATTACAAAATAGACACTACGCTAATTCTAATAGAAGCTGTGGAGCATCTACTGCAACAAAGAGGAAGCATTTCAGGAAAATATGAAAATAGGCAACTTGATTATGGACCAATTATCGAAGCTTAATCAATCACCAACCTTTCCTGCTTGTGAAAAGAAGTTATAAACATCTCTCTCTGTCGCCTTCAATGGCATCTGGAATAAGTAGTGACTATTAAATCCGGTCATGCAATAACCAAAAAATGACTAGTACAAATATACCAATGTGACAATATACTAGAATATAGCAGTCTAAAGTTAAATAGTACCTGAAAGGCAAAAACAGTTCTCTGGTCCCTTTCTGGATCAGCTTCAGGTTCTTCTCTTTTATCCTTAAACCTTCTGCATTAATAGTTCAAAGTAAAATAAGCACAAGAAAATTTAGGAAAGGGCAATTTCCCAATATGTACAGCCTCGTCAGTCTGTTACAGACTTGTGGTAAGAATATAATCTCAAACCCTTTCTCATACTCCCTGGAGTTCATGCACTTTCACCCCACACAAAACTCCACGCCAGCAACCTTGTTTGAGTTCCAATTACAAAGGTAAATCCTAAACCAGAACAGTGGTTTTAAAAACATATTAGCATATATATCTGGACACTCGACGAGTACTTATCACTAGACAAACAAAAATGATTAAAACTATTTTTTACCACTACAAAAGAAATACTAACCGAATGAAAATGACACTGGGGGGGGGGGGGGGGGGGGGGGGGGGGAAAACCCCCCACCCAAAAAAACCCCCCCCTTTTTTTTTTTAGCCCCAAAAAAAAAAAATTTTTTAATTTTTGGGGGGGGGGGGAGATTTTGTTTTCAATTTTTAAAAAGGGG